CTGAGCAAGCATGGTACGCATGCGCGCGCCAAACATGTTTGGTACGGCTGTCCAAACGAACAAAACATCGCCCATCAAACACGAGAACAAAAGAAATGTTTAAGTTGTTTGATCGAATGTTTGATTGCGTTCAAATTTTATCAAACACCACCAAACACAATCAAACACGATCAAACAGCACCAAACAAGGTGGCCAAACGGTAAAATGTTTGGTCACCAAACAATGTTTGATGGTGTTTGGACGCCAAACATTTCCCGTTAGGACAGGCCTTTAGGATGAAATCCTAGTGTGAGACCATTCAAATCGGTAAGCTATTGAGCACTAGTTTCATGCGATACCGTTTATTTTGCTGTACAAGGTGGTTAGGAATTTAAAGTCAATGGATAAAACCCTAGTGTGTGACTATTCAAATGAAAGTTATTGAGCAGTGCTTTCATTTGGTACTGTCGATTATGCAATTAAATTTGTTATTTTTAGATCGAAATTAGCAAGAGTTTGAAGCGAGCTACTTACTAAGAACATCAATCTTTCCTTCTTTCGCAATCAGTTCTTGAGCGACACTTGATACTGACTCATCCGAGCTCACATCCATCTGTTTAACGAGTAATGTCTCGCCGAGGAGATCCTCCCTTTCGTTTTCCAGGATTGCCTTTTTTTCTCCAGATTTCTCATCGTGGCGAATACCTTAAAACGTCTCTCGGGATCTGTGGCTAAAAGCAGAGCGAAAGGCCTATACCAGAAGAACTTCCCGAGATGAGGACAATTCTTCCTGACGCCATTGTCACGAACCGTTTTTGTACGAATCGATTATTCACCAGCTGCGTTATAACAATAAGGGCTTATTGACTGACTGGCAGAGCATGACTGGAAAATAAGTCCATTGTTATCATGGTAGCCCTAATTTAAGCGACCATGTTCACCTCGAAGATAAGATAAATATCGAGAAAAGTTCCGCAGCATTTGCTGTTGCTGTTGTTGATTATGGTTTGTTTTAAAACTTGTTCCCTAAATAATTTTACGGCTTTCACAGAAAAATACTGTACCACAAAATAAACGAATCGAATGGTTTTCTTCTACGACATGCTAATAGGATAATGACGAGATGGATTTATTTGTGCGACTTATTCAAATGAAACCTGGAACGTGTACATAAAAATCAGTTTAAATGCGTTTCTCAGAGTGATTTCCGACAATAAGAATGGCATATATATCTAAAATTAAAGAATAAAACTTCCATACCTCAAAAATTAAACTGACATACCTTTTGTTATTCGTACCTTATTTTGCTCAGTTTTGGCGATTGTCAAAAAGAAATTGGTCAAATTGAAGCCACGGGAAAACCTCACAAAATTTACACAGGCAAAATTAAATACCATGGTAAGTTAATATGATCAACAACAACATGTTCAGTTGGTGTATCGACATAAAAAATAAATTATTTTCTGGTAAGGTTCTTAGGAACATTGCGGAGTCTAAGACAATTAATATGCACGAATCTTAAAGGAGCTCAGTCACCGCACTTTGAGTTATTAGTTTGGCCACGTAGAAAATAACCTTTAAATTGAAGGAAACCTGAAAATAGTAGTTAACTAAGATAGAAAAAACACCAGAGATCCAATAATAAACCATAAAGGAACAAGGATGGTTAAGGATGGAGAAGATTAACACAGATTACAATTGACGAACTTGAAAAAGTAAGGCTTAATTAACTTTTCAAGGTGCAGAAACTGTGACGTAGCTCCCTTAATTTGTTCCAGTTTGTTTAGAAAGGTTAAGTTCAGACCTTTTTTTTTACAAAGTAAAATGATGTTGACAAAGTTTTTGCGAAATTTAATGCTTTTTTTCTCATTTTCCCGTATCAAAATCGCAAAAATAGGGTCTCGCGAAATACTGTCTCGCAAAATGGCGAAATGAAGAACGGGCGAAATTAAGTACGAATAAGATAATTACCTGTACGCTGAAATGAAAAAGGTCACCTAAATACAACCCTCATTAAGAACGCAGTTTTTCTTTCTGTGGTAATCCTTTTACACTTAGAGTCTTAATAAAACAGAACGATACTGGAAAAGCTTTATGGGAGAGGATTAAGCCCGATCAGAGCTTTTCCGCCTACAGTGTCGTCGATAGTCGAGGAGACGATGAAAGCTCGTGTCTGCGACTTTGTGTCATCGTTTGTAGCGAATTCAAGCAGTTTGGCAGATTTAGAATTATGCATTGGTTTCGTACTTCAGCCTTGTAAAATTTCTTTCATCGATTCACAACTTACGTATTACCTGTTAGAAGCCTTACGCCCCGTCCAAAATGTGCCAGAGAAATTTGAAAACGGAGGTTTCACTCTGAAAACGTATCAAATGTTTTCCTTCCACACTACGTCGGAGGAATTTGAAAACGCAACAGTCACCGGTCATTTTATATTTGTGTTTGAGGAAACCTCGGTCAAGGACACCACATGCATGATTATCGTGAATCTATCGTTTCCGAAAAGCTCTGTTTTCAAAATGTTTTCCGTCCACACGAAAATAAAAAAGCAAGCGTTTTCAATGTCCCCTGGTTTGACGAGCGTTTTCGAAAAGCTCCGTTTTCGTAACGGATTAGTGTGGACGCTAGGCCTAAACGTGGAAATAAAGCTGCGTTTTCAAATTTCCCCGGCGTAGTGTGGACTCTGTCTAATTATCTTTTCGTGTAATTTCAGCTGAACGAACCTACGGGACATGTGGCATATGGCACGAGAATGATACGAGAAACTGAAACGGAGGAACCATTAAAGATCAGTTCCTTTATTCGTGTATACTTAAGGTTTTGGGCACATCGTTAAATATTGTTGTTGTTTTTTTTAATTTACCAAGATACATCTTTTTTTCCCCTTTATTTTTAATTAGAGACTGTTATAATAGCTGTATAGGCAAATTTAAAAACCTTTCTCGTGGCTGCTAATCAATCAGCAAAGATCGTCAATTTATTTAACAACCTGTTTTTTCGCGCTTTCCGTTTTGCAGTAAACGATGAATACCTCGCCAACCCTGCCTTTGTTTGAAATTTAGCTGATGAGGAAGTTTAGAATCCAAAGATTAGAATTATTTAAATACTCTTTTTCTTTGGCCATCGTGGCTTAATAAGTTTGTGTGTTATTTCTTAGAATTATTTACTTTCTTTTTATTCAGTAAAAACCTTCTTTTGAAGAAATGACTCAACAAAGAAACCAAATGAAGACGGATATTTTATTGTAAGATAGCGTAACAAGGTGTTAATAAAAAAGATATTTAAGTCAGAAACGCCCTTATACATCTGAATTATAGCCTTGTTTTTCACGTCTGAGAAGCTCCAGTTTCTATATGGTAAGTTATTCCAACGTGAGTAATCTATAGAATGTAGAAATAAGATTATATGTGTATCTAAATGTTATGGTTGACTTCTGTGCAGTTATAAAATAACAAACATTGTTTTTAAAATGTTAAATTAACGCATTTTTGGTGATATATTCATAACCTTAAATCAAAATAGTATTAAATTATCTATTTTGGTGCCAACACAAAATTGCCATGAGACGGTATCTCCCTTTCTTCCTTTAAAATGTTCTAATTTTTTTTTAGATATCATATATTGGTAAAATATAATTTGAATGCGTTTCGGAGTGATGTACCACAATGCCACTTCATTTAATTTAAAAAGTGTGTGCATCAGGAACATTTTGTGTTTCTTGGCCATGTGTATGTCCAACCCCGATTGCGAATTGGTTTGGCAAGTGGTAACAAAACAATTTTTTCCTCATCGATGTTATGAAGTCCTTTTTAAATCATTAAATTAGTATTGGATAATTGTGCTCAAAAAGTGATTCTAGAATCAAGGAGAATTAAATCGATCAATGTGTGGAAGTGTTTTAACACTTAAAAAACGTCCACAAATATACTTTTTTCACGTCGAAAATATCGCTCTATGCTAGGCTTCTAGCCAATTAACGACATAGGCACCATTAAGGAAGTCAAGATCACAATGAAGACTTGCCAGCACGGAAATGGCTTACAATATTTTAATCCATTTATGAACAATTACCTGCAAAACAATGGGATTAAACTGGCGTAGAGATCTCCAGGTTTTAAAAGACCGGCAATCCTGGACAAAAGTAGTTGGGGCACTTAAGCTGGACGATATATCCCCGATCCGCCCTAAACAATCTTGGTAAATGTCGCGATTGTTTTGCACTTAATAGGGTAAAACATACCTGCTTATTAACCTTGTAAGTAATAGGGAAGGAAACAATTTGTTTGGTGTCCCAACATTTTCATCTGGGATATGGGATCGAGGATTGTAAACTTGCATTTAATATCGTGCTTTTTGTTGCTCTTTTACACCTAGCCAGTAGAGTTTATAAATTTTATTGTCCATTAGTAATCCAGACTTTTACTTCCAGTACATAACTTATTTGTGGTGTCCCCTCACAACCAGTGATGTCGGATACGCGACTTAATTTTTCGCAAGAAGACTTAAAAGCAGCCCTGTATGGGCGGGAAACTTCCATATATGGACAAACAGGTACACCGTGCTGTGACGTATAACGTTTCTATTATAATTCTCGTAACTTTTTTAAGCTATTATCTCAGATCAAGAGATTTTTCTCTTGCTCAGATGAATCCTTTACTAGTAAATTTAAATTCATCCGGAAATTAACAGTTTTTAAAAAGACATCCTCCTAAGACAGAGCAAGTAAACGTTCTCTAGCACGTCGATACCACGATACCACCATTCCAGACCTTCCCCTACGCCTTCAAACCGCCACACCTATATGTACCCACTTACAAGAAGGCATTTTTCGTGTCGCTCAGCTTTCAAAGACTCATAGTACATGTATGTTGTTCGACAGGGCGGTGGGCGGTGTGGCCGTAGCCGAGTAGGGAGTAAGGCGAGACAAGAGTGATATGCCCTGGTAGGGAAGAAGGCGAGACGCTTGCCCCGCCCATGTCTCGTCCCATTCCCCTTTGGGCTAAAGCGCCCCGCCTATAGCCCCTGCTGAATTTCGAGAGAAAAACAGACTGCCATTAGTCTAGTCACTAGGCGTAGAATGATTTATCGTCTGCATAAACAGTATTTTCTGAGCCAGACGTAAAATTACTTTGATAATAGAGAGGTTAAGCATGACGTTTACGGCAAACAGCAAACGGCAAAAAATGAAATTTTTGCCGTCTCTCTTCAGTTGTGTGTACAGTAGAGTGAAATTATTTGTATTTGCAATGAATAGTAGGAGAAGTTATTCCTTTTTTGTGTGCTTCATTTACGGATTAGAAGAAAAGAACTCAAAATCAGAAGTTATCTTTGCCGTTTGCCGTCTGCCGTTAACGTCATGCTTAACCTCTCTAATAAGCTAGATGAATGGAAATTCAGTCAGTAAGCTAAGAAATAATGCAATGAAACTGTAACAAGACAGCTTGCACTGCAGTAACATTGCAATTCAGCCAATCCAAAGATTAAACCTTGAATGCAGTTTAGCTGATTATACATCAAGTGTATTTTAACATTAAAGTCCAGTGATAATTGGCAAAGTGCGACTATTTTTTTAATGCTGTTGTTTTTGTTTGTTTGTTTGTTTGTTTTCTCAAAGGCTGCGTTCTTAGCAAGTCCCTGCCACATGAATTAAAGATAGTTAAAGTCTTGAGTGCTGGAAACCCGCGTTACGGTGTCTTTTGTGGTCAGCTGCGCATCAAGAAGGGCATGCGCTTCGGTCCGTACACGGGGAGCATTGTTTGTCCAGAGGAAATGGCTACAGGTTCTGTTCAAAGAGAATTCCTGTGGGAGGTAAAATACCTAAGACTTCTAGCTATCACGGCAGAACAATTACCCGTAGGTTTTATAAAAGGCATTGAATTAGAGGCGATTTGTTGCATTCCTGTTGACATCTTGTGTTCATTTATTTGGTTTACCGCATAAAAAAAGAGATTGCATCGGGTCTAAATGTCCCATACCGCTGAAGATTAACCTGACTCCCATATTATTGAGTAACTAAGAATTTTTCTGCCCTTTCTGGTAGGGATGCTAGCCCATTGCAAGGCAGCACCCAGCGCTAAAACCATTATTTATTCACCTGGGTAAGGCGGAAAGAATTATCAGAGTTCCGGTAGGGGGAAAGACTACCTTATACGGGCTATATATGGTGTGGAACCAAGACGTATGGTTTTTGAGGCGTTTTTTGTCTGATTTCAGACTCTTCCTTCAAAGAAAGTTTATGGCCTGTTCACCCTAGTCTTGAATTGGGTATGTTTGTCATCAATTAAATATGTTTTTGGAAGGGTCAGGTCGGAAATAGTGCTTCGAATTTTCATCCGGTCTCAACTTGGGTATAGAACAACGTAAATTTTGGTGTAAAATAGTGTCAGGATTTCAAGAGGCTCGCCGCAAACCCTTACCTAATTTTACATCCTCCCCCCTCCCCTTCCGAGGTGGAAGTAAAGTGTCTTGCACAAGAACAAAACAGCAGAGATCGAGCCAAGTACGTTTTACTTTCTTCGTAGATATTTATGGACGGGCACTTTCGCTACTATATAGATGGTTCCGCAAACCAAAAGAACTGGATGAAGTTTGTAAGCTGTGCCCGGCACGTTGCCGAGCAAAACCTAGTACTAGTACAACAGGAATACTCGTTGTATTACGAGGCCACGCGCGTGATAACGGAGGGAGTGGAGTTAAAGGTGTGGTACGGCGACGGATATAAGGTGTTCATGGGGATACCCCTGGGATTAAAGATTGAACAGGAAGGTGAGTTACATGCAAAGTGTGGCATGTTGACAATTATATAATAACCCAAGTTATTCTCGCATTTTGATTGGTTCTCGCCTATGATCTATTAGAGGACAGACGCACGATTGACGTCATCATTGCAAAGTTTTTCCCTCTGTGTTTTAAAATGGCGGACAGTTTTGAGAATTCAGATAATATTTTAC